GTGGCTGGTTCGGATCTAGCAGCACAAAGGCAGCGCCTGCCTTCAGAACCCCTAAAACAGCTACCACGACCTGGCAAGACTTCTCAAAGCACAGCGGCACAAACATCTCCGGTCCAACGCCGTAACCGGCCAGATGGACGGCCAGTGCCGTGGACAGATGGTCTAATTCCCTATACGTGAAGTTGCCATCCCAGGCACACACGGCAGGCGCGTCCGGCGTAGTCCTGCATTGCTCAGAAATGAGCTCATGCACGCACCGGTCAACTCGTGTTGGCACAGTGCCGTTCCAAGCCTTTAGTTTCAACATGTCGGCTTCATTGAGCAGGCATTCTCTTTCCTGTTCCTTTATACCTAGAAAATACCCCACTCCATCAGCGTCGTCCCTTTGCACCAATGCCCCGAGCTCACCCACGTCGTTAACTGTGACCTCTCGTATCACTGGGCATTGTTGTTTGGCTCTGTCATGGTCATTAACAGCCTGCGAGACGGATGAATTATCCAATCCTTCTCCTGAACCTTGGTCCTCCACGAGTTCTCCGGTTTGATGAGTACTGCCTTGGGTGCCATGTGTGATTGTCATTGTGCACTTGAGCCGTTTCGCTTTCCGCTTCCGTAAATCTGTATCTTATGAAGGATGATGGGATGACTACCTTGGGTTCCAGAATAAATGTCATGCATGGAATATATATATGTCTGACTAGTCTCTAGATCCATACTCAGTGTTCTTTCTGGGCTCTTCCTGACCGACATCCAACAATGGCAACAAATGCATCTTTCACCGCTTTTCTCCATGACAGGTTCCCTTTCAATGCAAGGTGAGATGGTGTGTAAGGGATCTGCACATCTGCTGAAAATTGGCCTGACGTAGTCTGCTGACCCTTTGTTTCGGGGTTTCCCACTTCGCGTGTACAGCGAAGTTTTGATGAAGCGTAGCTGAACTAGCATTCAACATTAAAGACCGCTAATTCAATTCATATTTCATGAATCGATCGAGCCCGGTATGTAAGATGCTAGCATGCACATGCTTCACCGTCTGAAGCAAGAATGTGGCCAGAATGCTGCCAAGCCCCTCAAACTCCCATAAGCACAACCGCATGCTTACAGATTTAGGAAAAGTCGTCGCTGCAACTAAGCGCCGAGATCTGCATACCTTGCCGGATTTGGAGTCCAAATTGAAATTGTCAGTTGGCGAAACTACGTGGGGAGCACAGCATGGCATAAAGTGAATGCAATATGAACAAGAGACCGACTGCACGTAGCAGAGAGGAGAGGAAGAAGCCATTGGCAGATAATACAACAACCTGTTTTGCTACGAACGAGTAAATTCGCATGTATCGCTGCCGCCTGCTGAGACTTCGGGTCATGGCCAAGCTATAATCTTACACGCCTGTCTACGTCGGGGGGTCGGAGGCTTACCCTTTCTTTCCCCAATCAGCAGCTGAACGAGCCCCGCACTAGAGGCCTCCTCAACCCGCTCGCAGCAATCGAATCGAATCACCTCTTCAAATTTGCTTCTTGCGCTTGAAGAGGTGCACCGAATCGAGATCCAGAGAGGTCTCTTGAAATCTATGTATATATATACTACTCGTCCACCGTTCATATAGAGTACCACTCGAATCTTTCAAAATCCTCCCGCACCGTCTCCCCTTCCGCCACACTCTCAACCTCCGCACGTACCGCACCTTCCTGGAAATTCGCTGCCCAAGCCTTATCCCAAACTACTGGCTCGCTCAGTCTACTCCCCGGCTTTAGTGTGCCAAATCTAAAATCTAACGACTCCCCCGCATCGGAAGGTAGCCGCATGAAGTAGCGCACACTGGGAGGAATCTCCTCCTTCACATGGGAGATCATGACCAAAGCTTGGTCATCCGTGAGTCCACGGAACCGAGCATCCTCGGGTGCAGGGTGGACTTTGACAACTCGTTTAGTGACGAACTCGCCATGTTCGATGAAGTTTAGACACTTGTCCCGGATGGAGGCAGGCATGCCGGAGAAGGCTTCGTCTAAGATGACGATATCAGGTCGGTGAACGAGAGCGCGAAGAAACAGGACCAGGCGCTGTTGAGCAGTGCTAAGCTCAGCGAAGCGAACCGTGTCGGCGTACTCAACACCGTGGTCGGGATTGTAGAAGTCGGTGTCAGATTTGACGAGGGTGGGGAAGAGATCGCGGGGAGTGGTGACTTTGGTAGGTTTTTGGGAGATGTTGGAGACGTCGGGGTCGAGTTCGGCGCGGAAGAAGCGGAGGATGGCGCTGACGTCCAGGTCACGATCATGATTCAGAGTGGGTTTAGCGAGGAAGGTTTCCGCGAAAGCTGATTCAATGGCTTGTCGGATGGTCAGTTGACGGGGGAAGAAGGCGTGGATTTCGGGAGAAGAGTGGCCAAGGCGGGATTGGAGCTCGAAGATCGAGAGGCCTGGTCTCCCAGCTTCGGGGAGTCGGGTGCGGCCGAAGAGACGGATAGGAAGAGCGTAGGTTTGGGGATGGTCCGAGGTTATGAGAGAGAGCAGAGTGGTTTTGCCGGAGCCGTTGGCACCGAGCACGGCCCAGCGTTGCCCGCGCCGAACTGTCCAGTGCAGGCCAGCTTGTGGTTTGTTGTACACGTGCTGGGTCCAGTCGCCCAGGACGCATTTATCACCGTATTGTACGCGGACGCCGTCCATTTCGATCAGTGGTTCACCGCCCTTGATAGGGAAGGATGGGGCAGCGCGACCCTTTCCTTGTGGCGGAGCTAGCCGCATGTCCCATATGAGTTGGCGATCGAGATGGCCTGCATCGATGTATTCCTTAGCCTGTTCGTAGGTGTGGTGAACCCACTGATCTTCTTTGGCAGTCGGCTTCTCATAACTGCCTAATTTCTTCCATACGTTGAACACCTTCTCCGCTTCCGCGCGGGGAGCTTGTAGAAGGACCCGGTGGGAGTTCCCCAGCACCATAATATGCGTGACCCAGTCGGGCAAGGGGTCCTGAGGCCGGAGAGCGAGAACCAGGCGGGGATCAGACTTGGCCGCCAAGCGCCGGAGGAGGGCTGAGATGCTTCGAACGGTAGCGGGATCCAGGCCCATGAACGGATCATCAAGGAGGAGCAATTCAGGCTTACTGAGGAGGGCTTTGGCAATCCGAGTCCGTCTGGTCTGACCATTGCTCAAGTTGGCAACCGGCATATCGAGTAATTCATCCAGCCGGAGCTCCGAAACAATCTGCGCCAGCAGCTGCTCATCATGTATCTTTCCATCTTGTTCGGATTCCAACGGGTTCAAGGAAGTTTGGCCTCTGAGATATTGGCGGACTGTCCAGTCGGTTTCCTCGCGGAGACTCTCGTATCGGGCACTCAGATACGCGCCGCGAGTGCCTCCAATGGCGCCAGAACCTTCCCCACTGAAGCCAATGTATTGTATTGCGTTCCCCGCAAACCGTAGGCGGTGATCCTTTTCGGCAATCTCGTCGCTGAGGAGGTACGGATAGCTGCGCGCTGTGGGCGGTGTGCAAATGTATTGACCACGAAGAACGTCGAGCATCTGCGTCCTCCCCCCCGAGCCAATTACCGCCCAGGTCTGCGGAGCATCGCCGCCGTCCTGAGCAGGGGTGGATTTGGCGGGTAAAACGAAGTTGAAGTCAGGAAAAAGGGGAGGATTGCGGCCTTTGGCGGCATCTTCGGGAGTGGGATAGTTCTCGTAGAATGTGGCATTCTGTATCCGAATTAACGGCGGCGCAACGGATGAGACTGAGCGTGCGGCGCGAAGGGGAGCTGAAGACCGCAGCGGCCTTGTCCTGCAAGCTAGCCGGAACATGGCACCGCGGGTGAGAATTGTAGGTACTGTGTATCAAGATTATTTCCTCGTCCAGGCCTCCTATTCTACATGCCGAAATCGGGATGAGTTCCGCTGGTAGTAACAACTCCCCGGACTAGCGTTAGTCCGGCTCCGACCGAGCCTTGGCATTGTTGATACGGGGAGAAAACGGATGTTCGTGAAGCGATTGAACGACGGCAGTGGAGTCGCATTCTTTTGTGCAATTCGCAAAGTCGGCGGAAGGTCCTGCGAGTGTTAGTGTGTCAAGTGCTGTGTCCATCAGATCAGTGATTAGGCAGTCGAGGAAAATGCGAGCATAAATGGTCCTGGTTTTCTAAATCAGGCTGGATAAGGTTACCCACACGTGCTGTGGGACACTGGGTTGCTGTGATTATTGTAAGTGGCCTTGTTTCATCAGCGAACTTCAAGCTCGATGCATCCAATGGTGCCATGCAATGCAGCAGCATCGCGGGTAGGTACTAGATAGAGTTCATATCTAATCTACACCCACGTCCTAATATACCACTCACGGTACGTTGTCCCTCGTCGTTGGCATAGCCTCATGTTGAAAAACAACATCATCTCAGTGATGGGTGACTGACGCATGTCGCAGTCGCACCCTATGCGGACCAGTCCCACGGTCACAATCCACGTTGAATCCCGTTGACTGGTGTTTGCCATTATTTTCCTGGAGAGCAGCACATGCAATTGCAATCCATGTAAACTAAAAATAACCCTGTATCCAGCACTGACTTGATATCGCCAAAGAGTGAGGCTACATTCTAAATTAGGACAACACTGCAATGAGTGGGTCAGGGTTAATCAACAACCATCCGGACCCGCTGTTCCAATCAACTGGAGAAGGCAGCTCAGTAGTGGTAGTCCAGGGTGGATTTGAGTAGCGCCACGAGCACGTCCACGTAGATGGACACAAAAGCCATGTCCAATGGCGCGACCGTAACTCCGTCGGATGATTTTTGGGGCAATGATGGCTCGCGATGAAGTGGCTAGTTTGCGACCAGACCGCCCTTTGGCCACGACACGCCCAAACCACCCACAACGCGTTCGTTTGTTCTCTCTTGGTTTTATTTCTTGCGGAGCATGCGTTTCGAACGGTGGTCAAGGGGAGGGAAAAGTGACAGAAAGAAAGAGAGAGAAAGAGGAAAAGGGTGGTCAGTTAGTTGTCTAGTTGATACTACGGATGCGCTGCCATGATGCCATTCATTCCGCTACTCTTCGTCCTGGCGAGTATAACTTTGTTTTTTTCGCGACGTCGTTATAAAGCTATTGAGAGCGCTGAGCCGCCGGTGGTTGTTAAGGGACATACGTACTCTGATAGTGTGGATGAGACCGAGCTTCAACCTTTGGAGAGTAAGAAAGTTGAGCATGTTCGGAGTGCTTGTATCATTGGGGCTGGACATGTGGGTAAGCGCGCTGCTCTTACCTGCCAGTATCTCGGAAGGATAGCTAATGTCGACCAGGTGCATTGACGGCGGTTGTACTCGCCTCCCAGAATCCCCACATCCAGTTCAGTGTCGTTGACAATGATGCGGGTCTCATTAACGCGTGGAACTCCGATCGGCCCCCAGTGTTTGAGCCTGGGTTGGAGGAGATGTTGTTTGAGGAGATATCAAGCCTCAATCTAGATGCGTCAGCTATCCCGGATCAGTCTATAGCTTCAGATTGTAGTCAGCCTCGAAAGAGGAAACTGACGAACTTGACATTTTCCACAAACGTCCACGCAGGCGTGGCCGCAGCAGACCTGATTTTCCTTTGTTCAGAGATATTCTCAACTATAACAGTAAGGCGTCTGCTTGCAAGTGGAAGACAAAGCTGATGATTGGTATAGATTGACGAAAAAGAGCGCTTAGATCTGTCGCAGTTGGAGTCTGCAATCCGAGCGATCGCTCAAGTATCCACTGGCCACAAGATTATCGTGCAAAAGAGCACCGCTCCATGTGGTGTCGTTCAGCGAATGAAGAAGATTGTGAGCATCCTGTCAAATGTAGCAACATCATTCTAACGAAAGCAGTTGCGAAAAACCGCATCTCCATCCGCTTCATTCGATGTGCTGTCCAACCCCGACTTCTTGGTTCCAGGCACAGCCCTTCATGACCTCCTTTACCCTCCCCGCGTTATTATCGGGCACATATTCTCGGAAGACATGTCCCCAGGAGCTTTAAGCGCACTGAAGAAGCTTTACATTCCTTGGGTTCCAGAAGAGCGCATTATCACCATGGACGCATGGTCTTCGGAACTGGGCAAAATTGCCGCGAACGCATTCCTCGCCCAGCAAATCAGCAGTCTTCACTCGCTGAGCGCTATTTGTGAATCCACCAACGCCAACATCAACCACATCACCCAGACCCTCGGGTTACCGCAACGAGTCGGCTTTGGATTCGGCAGCTCGCACTTGCAGACCGAGGTGCTGTGCCTAGTATATCTGGCCCGAGAGCTAGGACTGCAGCAAGTGGCAGAGTACTGGCGCGCTGTCCTGCGCATGAACGATTCACACAATCGACGTATCTCCCAACGAGTCTTGTCGCAGTTATCCGGCGACCTCACGGAGCAGAAGATTGCGGTTCTGGGGTTTACCCCAAAGGAGAACAACAACCAGTATTCTGTGGCGCTGGGTCTGGTCCGGGACTTGTCAAAGAACGGGGTAAAAGTGGGAATTTATGACCCATTTATACCTGCAGACCAGCTGGAGAACACGCTGCGTGCGAGCAATGCATCTCTTGACACGGTCACAGTGGCCGACTCAGTGGAGACGGCATGCGCGGGATGCAGTGCTGTTATTCTTCACACGGACTGGGAGACGTTCGGACATGAGAAGGTTCGATGGCAGGGCATTGCGGGCCAGATGCAGAGCCCGAAGGTGTTCTTGGATCCTTATGGTGTGTTTGACCAGTTCAAGATGCAGCAGTGGGGATTCAAGATGTTGCAGGTGGGTGTGAGGCAGACAGAAGCAAAGTAAAGTTTGTGATGTCATTACAACTGTCTACTTATGATCTGCTTTGATTTATCACGATATGGCGCAGATGGGGGTTAGCAGGTGTCATGATTCTGTGGTTGAGCGACTGATGTTTATTCTCTAGTTTCTTTGAGCGTTCGAGTCAGCGATGTAGATATTTTTGTTGCTTTCTGTTTTACTTCTAGTACTTCTGATCCCTCTAACAGTCACTATGTGCAATTCTGCAAGCATGTTAAGCCATAATAAGTCCAAAAATGTGATTTCGCTGCCAGTCCCGGAGTATCTGAAAGGCGTGGACTCTGACCTGCATTGGCGGGAATATTATAGACAATATTTCTAATGATGAGCCCGCATCAACCAGGTCGTATACTATCTCATTGGTGCGGCACTGCTGCAAGTGGCCCTTTCTCCTCCCGAGCTCTGGGAATGCAGACGTAGGAGATAGCATGATGCACATGCCTGCCTCATTGCATTAGGCATGGAAGGGTCAACATAAAAAGCAAGAGTTTATGACAGTGAAGCTGCCGCTACTATGAGGAAGACAGAAGAGATGACGTGGGTGACCTGGCTCATGGTGAATCTGTGCCTGCACGAAATATCGGGCTGTATTCGTGCCATCGACTTCCATATATATGCTACTTTGATGTTAACAGAAGTATTCCTCTTGCCGCTATGCCCCAATGATATGAAGAGAAAAAGAGTGCAACTCAAGTAAACCATGTAAGTAGTACCATCGCTCCTATAAGTATACACAGCCTCGAATACTCACAGTATACAGCACACATTCTAGAAACAGATCCCAGTCTTACAAAGCCTTTCCACCACCCCCAAGCAATAAGCCCCCCCTCAACTAGAAGCAGGGTAACCCAAACAATGCAACCTTCTCATCATCATCGTCCGCTTGGTCCCACGCTGCCCGCCACGTCGTTTCCCTGGCGTCCGTTGTTGTAGCCAACTGCGAGGGATGGATTGAAGCAGTGTGCAAAGCGAAGGCAAAAGGAATGCGAACTGTGGACCTGCCTCAGGAGGTGCCTGTGAGGTGCCAACCCGGTGCGCAGTGATGGGCTAAAGGGGCGGTGTTCACGTCCAATCGAATACTCCTGCAGGATCATTTTCGGTAGATTCTTCTGGCGCCGATAATAGTACTACTAAGTGGTGATGTTGGCGGCTGCCAAGAGTCGACATATGACAAAGTGCAATCGCGACGGGATGCCGACTAGACGAGGTGGGGAAGGAAGAAGGGAGTGAAGAGGGAAACACAAAGAGGCTGTGATTATTGGGATCAAACGAATCTCCCGCTGTCAAAGCAGTGCCGCAAAAAGCCTGCGTTTCTTAAGTTGCAGAGGAGAACTTTGCATAGGTGTCGTCCTCGCCGGCGTTCTAGCTGGCAATCTTGTTGGCGTCTGCCGGAGCATTATAGGCGTATAAGCAGGCTGGCACCCAACATTCGGCTTGTCTCACCAGCGGAGGAAGCGAATCCGAAGAGGTGAGTCGACGGACGCTTCGAGCGACTTTGAACGCCTGGCATCCTCAAGGTTCTCTGCAATAGGTTGGATAGACAGAGATCGAAGCGAAGAAAAATGCCTTCATGAAGGAGAGATGCAGTGTCTAATCAAGCTGCTCGGTGAACTCCTCCAGCCCACCCACATCCTCCCAGAACTTGGAGAAATCGACGTCGTTTTCTTCGAAGAGATGCTTGACCTGAAGCATGGCGGACTGTTGCCTTTCCGGCGTGAACCCGCCTGGCTGGGTACTCTCGTACTGGACTAACTCAACCCATCGGTAGAAAAGGTCCTCCTTGCCCATGGCCGTCAGTTTTTCCTTGAACACCAAGATCTGATCTCTTTGGGCGGATCGGGCCGGGTCGGCTGGGATATCGCTAGTATCGGGGCTAAACTTTTCATTCTGATCTCCTACATGCCAGATCAGCCAGCCATGGGCATCTGTATTCACCAACACTGCCGTGCGGAATTCGTCCAATGAGACCTTGTCATCCGATTCACGATTGTCGACCATCTCGTGAGCCTTAATCATGGCGTCGTAATCGAGGTCGAAATCTTGATCTATAAGCAAATATCCCGTCTTTCTGATACGCTCCGGCGTAACCGCCGCAACGATCCTATCCCGTGTTTCCTTGTCTTCGCGGATCCATCGATCACGTTTGAGGCCCTGAGTCATGTCAGGCTGGCTCCGCCGGACAATGATCTCGTGTGGCCGGAAGCCGATGTTGCGGCGCCACCTTACCGCACCGAAGAGGAAGCGGAAAACTTCGGTCCAATCCATTGTCGATGTGTCCACCGTCATCGAGTTGTTCATCCCGATCAGTGCTGCTATCATGGCGGGATACATGTTGCGGACCATGTAGATTCGGAGAGCGAGGAGAACGACGACGATAGCATTGATTGCACAAGGCACGATGAAGATTTGTTTCTTAATGTCCACTGGGCAGGTATCGACGTGAATAAGGTAGACTTCGCGCGGAGAAAGCGACTTGAGGAGCGGTTCCAGAGATTCCGGCGCTCGAACAAACGGAGGGATGGGGCCATTCTGCGAGCTGGGAGTGGAGGTTCCCGAGGAGGTTGCGGAGGCCGTAACTGAGGCCTTACCCTTGGGGCCACGCCTGGCGGATTTGGCCATCCTTATGCGGATATTGTGATGTATGGGTCTTTCACTGTCCCAAAGTTGGAGACGTGAGACAATCGATGGCTGTCCGGGGGAAAGAAAAGGCAGGGAGGAGATTCCTTAGTAGGTCCGCATGAAGGTCTGGTCCACTGACCCGGAGGCTCAGCAGTCGGCCAATATACCGATCAATACTTACTATTTAATTTGTAGGTCACCACGACCTCGCGTGAGAGCTCAAATGGCCTGGCCCCCTGTACACGTGACTGCCAAGGCCATGAATAAGCAGTGCCATTTAACTAACTAACGTAGATAATAGTTAGCTAGCTAACTAATTAAGTTAACTATTTAATTACGTCACACAGTACGCATAATTACAAAGACTTCATAGTGGTTCAAGCAAATCCAATCATGTCAAAGATCATATCTATAGATGAGGTGTGAATCTCACTCTTTGACTAGCTTTCTCCATTAATGTAACTCCCCACGCGGTACGGAGTATATAGTAGTATTAGTAGTACTAGTACATGTGTCTCTGTGCAATGCTGGGCCCAATCGGACTATCCATTGTCCCGGCCCGCTTCCGCATTCCGCATTCCGCAGCTCCAGACTGTCTTTCGTCCGCATCCAGCAAACAACACGCTTGTAAGGATAGCTCATTATTCACCTTAATATCCTTACAAGTAACCCACCATGCTAGGCGCAGCAGCATCCCGGCACGCTGTTGCCATTCCCAGGACCCTTGCACATCGCCATCATCAACATGCATTCTCATTCTCGACACGCTCAATACCCTCCATCCTCCGTTCACGACCGACCGGTGCTCCCACATCCCTCCTACGAAGCGTTCAACCCACCACCATCCAGACCCGTCCCCTCTCCTTCGCGCAGAGGATGAAGCGCGGGTACCAGGAAGCCTCCCGTGGCATTTGGCGCAATAACCCCATCCTCCTTCCCCTCGCCCTGCTCTCCGTCGCCACCGCAACTGCAATCTTTAGCTACATCGCCTACAAGGAAGCCACTGAAGTCGGCCCGCAATACCACAAGTTCCCGCCACCGGTCGCGGAACGTCTCCGTACGGCAATCTACTATACCGATGTGAAGCTGAACCCCGTTAAAGCCATTGACGCATACAGCGAGGCAATCAAGTTAGCAACGGAACTGCACATGCACCCCTACTCGGACGAAGTGATGGGGATCAGGTTGCAGGTGTCGAAGTGTCTGGAGATGGCGGGGCTAGTGCCGGCTGCTATTCAAGTCTTAGAGAAGACACGAGCGGATGCATATCACTGGGTGAGGACAAGGATGGAAACAGAGGCTTTCAAGAATGGTGAAAGCGACTATTTCTTCGCCCGCGGGCCCTCCGCGGAGAAAGGCGAACTGGCCGCTGGTCCAATGAAAGTCGATCCCGCCATTGCAGAAACATATGAGAAGATGAAAGAGGCGGAAATCTATGAATATGGACAGGTGGAGAAAACGCTCGCCAAGGTTGTGGGTATGTCCATAAAGCTCGCGGAACTATATAAGAGCGATTATATCCAGGATGATAAAAAGGCCGAAGAGGCCCTCGAATTTGCCGTTCAACTATCCCTCGGCGAAGTGCAACGTCGACACCAAGCCAAACTCCCCATCGGCGGTGGCAACTGGATGACTCTTACGGAGATCGGAACCGCTCTATCCGAGTTGGGCCAACACTATGCCTCCCAGGGGAAGTTGGACCTTTCATTGCCCTTGTATCTGCGCGCCTTTGACCTCATTAATGCCAACGAAGGTGGAACGCCGTCCTGCAAGCAGGTCACCCTCATGTACAATATCAGTGCTTGTATCGGCAACCCAGCTTTAGATGGTGTCTCGCCATCGTCGGACCCGGGTGTTTCGCGTGCTGAGGCTATCGAGGCGACACGCAAGTGGGCTCAGGGCGCGATTGAGAGGGCTGGGAAGGTCGAACCCTCCGAAGAATCTGTGGAGTGCGATTACAGCTGTGCGGCGGCCAAGGTTATGTTGGGACAATTGGCGGTGTTTCATAATAAACCAGAGGAGGCACTGAAGTATTATTATGAGGGCAAGGATATTTACGACCGCATAGAAGCCCTTTCCGATGCGGAGGATGTCTCAAGGCTTATTAAGGATCTTGAAAAGAAGAAGAAATGATTGAATTTGGTGGATGCGGATCAGATTTATGAGGTTTGTGTTGACGAGGCTGATCAAGACCAACGTCCACCAGCACGCGGGTGCAATGTCACTGCCCTTCTCGTGGGGAATCGAATTGCGGTCGTCAACCCTCATCCAAGTCTACGAGACAACACAACAGTGAGTCAGCGTCTGAATGTTTCCATTCAATTTATCACGTTCGTTTTAACCTGATCGAGCCCGCTAAGTTAGGTGCAGGTGCTTCGTTGTCTTGAAGCAAGAATTTCGTGAAGGGCTGTGATGAGATGGCCCAGAGGCTGCCCTATCCTCTTTCCTCTGACATCACGGATCTTTCTTCTGGCGCACGTCTCAAGTTATCAGTCAGCCCCCGTAGCCTTCACTAGCGATGTATTCTACTACCCTTATCTCATCACCTGTACGGTATATATTGGCGGAGAAATCATTTGATTACGTCCAGAAATCCTCTCTTCTTCTCCCCGACCTCCCTATAGTTTTCTCATCCCAGCCCAGTGTTTTTTTGGGGTCGCCGTCCCCGGGCAATACCTGTCTCTGTTAGCAGTCCCTAGCACCAGTAGATAGTGTGTCGATGCGCATTCCTGCATCATCGTAATATCACACTGAGCCACTACCAGTTAAGCGATCAAAGAGACGGTGAACCGGATACCACATCCTCGAGGTGTAGGTCATGGAGGGAGAAGGGACCATGCTCGATTGTAACTTGAAGCCACAAGCCGGCGCATGAACGGAGTAATTTACTTTAAAAGGGAACGATCGGATCAAAGTAGCACCGGAGCTATTTGATCCAGAATGCTCAGGATTCCGATGGCTGAGATACCCCAAAGCCCATATCAGTGCTTGAGCAAGTCACCAGACATGGATTGATGAAATAACCCAAGCAATCCAGCTGAACATAGACTTAGCCGGGTATGCTCACGCCCATACGGGTTCGTGGTCGCAGGAGAAAATATCCTGATGATGGAGTCCCCAAACCAAAACCTAGTGGACCCAAGGGTGGGCGACCCATGATATCCCACCAGACAAAGCTCGAGTCATCTCAAGCGCGAAGTCACAAACGAGCTCGTCTACTCGTCGTCAAACCCACCAAACCCCGACAATCGATCCTGGAATCCCTCCCCGTCGAATTGATCGAGAAGATCTTCCTATACTCACTAAATGTGAACTTCGCTCGCTGCTCCTCAGCCCTAGGCGCAACCGTTTCGAGTGAACGCATATACAGAGCGTTGATCCTGTTGGCATTTTGGGATGACTCGTCTGCTACCACGGCATTGAGAAACCATGCCTCAGAAGTCGCTATATCCAGGATCCTCCGACCAGTCGATTACCACCCTCTCAGCCATGCAGAGCGGAGACACCTCCAGGACACCATCCTTCGCTGCAAATGGTGCACGATACAGCGGCTCCTAGCGCAGCTCCCGGACCTTATGAACCTTGCCATTCAACGACACTGGTTGGGTGCAGGAATCGGCATGCCCCGACATGACCAAGAATCATTGACCCGATTCCTCGCTCAAAAAGAAGACACTCGCATCTTTGAAGGAACCGACACCAACGGAGCCAATCACTACACCCTCACTGTAGCACCCTTGGTCTCAGTAACAGTCACCCACCATGAAAACGACCAATCGACTACCTACCCAGTCCTAGGCGTCCTTCTAATCCCCAATAAACTCGTCGAAGACCTCTCCACCCCTGATCACGTTACCTACCTCGAGCTCCTTCGCATAGCCAGCGGTTTCAACCGCGCTGATCTCGTCAAACCGACTGTCTCTGTGTCCCATGAATCCCTGCAGATCGGCATCCGTAATGCCCTCATCGAAAACAACAAAGCCGCCTTATCCATCCTCCTCAAAATCGATGAATATCATTTTCGCAGCGAGAACCAATCCCTGAATCCAACCACTCATGTTCCTTACATCCTCCCCGCAGAACATTTTCGCACGGCTGTACGGTTCGCCCGGCATGACCCGACGTTCTTCCAGCTGCTCGTGCGCGCTAGTGCGGAGTCTGTTCCGGCTGATGATGCGGAGATTACAGATTGGGCTGTGGGTCTGAACAATGCATTTGGGCACTGGCTGTTGGAACTGATGCTGCAATTGCCGCAGCAGATTGGAGCTGCGCATGCCAATCCGGCAGAGGATGCAGTGTTTTATTTGGGCCGGGCGAATGGACAGAGAGAGCTCGCAAGACGGTATTTGAGAGAGGTCTTGGGTTTGGAAGAGTTGGGATGTTGGATGGGAGAGACGATGTTTGACGCTTCAGCGTTGTGGAAGGTGAACGTCGACTGATCCTAGTGTAAAAGGTTACTTTGATCGTGGGACTATATGCCCTGTCACGACGAGTCTTCGGACATACAGTATCCTCCAAGAAACACCCCCAGAGTACGGAATGGGAGCCCACCTGCCGTGATCACAAGCCTAAGGACGTGGCCAGGTGATTGGCAAAGACGACTGTGGGACTTGGCAGTTTCAGGTGCTTAACACGTTCAAAACTGAAACAGCCTTTCAAAAAAAAAGAACCATGTCGGTGCTATCTTCGAGACTTTGTAGCATTGGGAGGGGGTAAAGGGCACCATAACAAGATAAGCGAGCAACAATTGAAGTAAAGTAGAACAAGTATAGCAAACAGGCAACATCACGTAACTAACGTGAGGGTGGCCGCACGCTATTATACCCCCAATTTAGAATCATCATCAGTCCTCAACTCAAAGACTCATATATCATTGTGTCGACGATATTGAATACAATAAACGATCCAATGGAGAGACTAGCATGGATCGTGAAAGGCAACAGACCAAATTCAAACAATTCGTGGAGAACGCAGAAGAAGCAGCCAGTGTCTGGCGGCCAGGAATGTAAATTAGGCAAAAATAGGACGAGAAGTGCCAGAATGCAACACAGCAGCTGATACAGACACTCCTTACAGAGGATAATAGGCTGGAGCAGGGACTTCAAATCAACCACATGTTAACTGAGGCAATGACAGATGCAATGATACCTTCCACAGAGTTGCAGGCACCATTGCAAAGAAGCATATCCGTACACAGCAGAGAGTGAGCGTGAGTTATCGAGAACATCTTCTCAAGCAATACTACCAAGTGGAAGTGGTAGTCAAAAACACACCCAATATAGGCAGAACGTGCGGAGAAAGAGCGACATAAACAATGCGCAGCCACAAAGCCTGCAACAGACCGAGAAGAACAATGCAAGCAAAGGATGTAGCAGATGATGATACAACAGACATATAAAACCAAAGAATGTGGTAGGAGAATATGCTAGTAAGATAAGCGGATCATTTCAAAATAACTTGCTACCCGCAAATACAGGGAGGGGACGACCATTGTATAGGATAGAGGCGTCTCGGATTCAATCTGCACGGCGGAAGGCGCGGCAGGGGTTTGTTATATATGTCACTATACAGACTTGATTTTCTAGAATCAACGTAACATTCCCTATTTGGATGGGGCCGCTTTAATGAGGGCGCTCAGGGGGGTTGCTCACTGAGTATTTCTTATCACCGGTCAAGGCTCAGTGAGCACTCAGGGCCTACTCAGGACGGGATCAGTCATTAATCACGTGTGCCCTGGGCTGCTCATACCTCAATATTCTGTACTATTAGCTTGATGATGATGCCGAATTGACCGTCTCTACAATGCCCATCTCCTCTAACCTGTGTGCTCCATTTGACGCAATCATAATTCTGATGGTCGTTCCAAGACTTTCCGGTGGCAAAATTTCCCGGGCTCAATCGAGGCTATTTCCAATGGCTCTGGCAAAGATATAAGAAGGATGTCTTCGCTATGCTTTCATGCTTATCAAGCAACTGACATCTTGTTTTTTTTGTTTTCTTAATCTGTCTTGTGTATATACATATGTCTCCTCTTTTACTATTTGTATTTTGATCTCTTCGTTGACTATGGGTAGAAGGAACTTTTGGCGCGGTGAAGATGCCCGCAAGAAACGCCGTGAGCGTTGTCTTGCTTCCGGGTATATTTCACGAGTCCACGAGGAAGAAGACTCTCTCAGGGGCAAAAATGACTGTCTTGAGGAGACTCAAAGACTACAGCGCGAGAATGTAGCTTTATATACGGAGTAAGTGACCTCGTAGAAAGCCAAAAATTAGGTCTATCCTCACCTTGTTTATCAGATATCTTGTGGAAGAGAAGTATGAGGGACCTGGATATGTTCTCAAGATCGGTACCCCTGCTCTAGATATTACGCGCATCAAAGATTTTATTCGATGGTACATAGCCTCTGCTGAGGGCAGACTCAGTAAAGAGAAAAAGCTTATGGTGAGAACTACCGGGTCGTTTGCTGAGAGGTTTATTTGTGGGTTTGAGGGAGCCATGACAAGCAAAATTCTGGTCGAGGACCGGAGGGAGATATACTCTGTATGTTGAGTATCCTCCTGTAATAGGTTTAACTGACCTCAACTAGTGGATTAAGAAGACCTTGCCAACAGGTGACGAAAAAATCATTGAAGATATTAAAAAGCAGAAGTTCAACTTTATCCGAGACGATTTCTGAAATATTATTTCTTGTCTATGGGCACGGGATTGTTCTGTCTTTCTTCATGGCCTATTCAAAGTCTTTATTGTGTTTGCACTCCAGGTATTCCTCTTTACTGGAGCAAGGATCGGGGCTCTTATACCGGATGTGAAATATAAGGATGTGAGAGGGCTACGATATGAGGTGAGAGAGTTGTGATATTCTTGTTCTATGCAGGCTCTTTGCTGAGTCTATTCCCAGTATATTGAACTGGTATTGTTCTGTTCTGCAGATGCGCCCTACAAGATAGGATGGCGGATTGATCAAAAGTGGTTGAAAAATAACTGTGATTTAAATTATACAGTGCAAGAATCTTGAGTTCGGCTTCCTCCCATCTATGAGCTCTGACTGATCGGTTGTCAGATTTGGAATTGGGATTTGAGACTATAATCGACTGCAGTTTGCTACAGGTATCTTTCTTCTTATGATTGCTCTACACGATGAAGCTATTTTTGGCATTGAGTTAATGGGGGATTTGGCTCAATTCGACCTCCGTGGTGGGTAATACACAGAGATTCCACTTCGCTGGAAAGATAATGCTTTGAACCGACCTGTTTTTAGGAATGTCACCGCGCAAGGTCCTTAAGACGTGGTGCTTGATAAGCAGCGGTTTTGTTTCTTTCTCCGTCAGATTCTTATAATGGCTGGATATTCGAAATTTGCTATGATACACGATGTCCGTCGGTCTCTTGGTACGAAAATTGAATGTAAGTTGTAACCCCAGCTTTTGTCCAGGGTCGTGTGGCTAAGCCTGTATAGCAAGACATGGCTCTGCACCTGTATCCCAGATCTATAGCTATAAAAGTGAGGGGATGTATCCAACGCACTACCAGGCGCACTGTTCGTCGATCGATACTTTTGGCGATGTGTTGGACGAAGAAGAAGAGACTTATCACATTGAATATTTTCAGGGATATGGACAGTTCCGTGAGGTTGGGCTGTCTCAAGAACTACCTGCTGAGCTGGAGGAAGCCATTCTACAGTGAGAGGAACTGATAAACTTATGGGATTACATTGTTTGATGCGAGAAAGAAGAAAACGCTGAGATAGTCAATTTCTACAAGAATGAGTATCGGAAGATGCTGATTAGCATTCGACAGTTGGAGCTCCGTCGATATCAGACTCAGTGGGTTCGGGAACGACGCGATCAGCGGATTCTGACGAGGGGGAAAGATCAACGCGAACCACTGGGGGGTGGTGCATGCACTCGTGCCCTGACCCTGATCATGCCTGAGGTGGGATACATCGCAGAGACTTTATGTTCTGCTGAGCCGCTCACTCATGACCAAAAACTCTTGTTCGGGAGTCAATTACTTACACAGTGTCGCCGCGATTATGATGTGGTTTATCTCCCGGGGGAGTATCCCGTCAACGGACACTGCCCAGTTGATACATGTTACTTTGACGTTGAAGAGTAAGTGCTGCCTGCCCCCATGGGTGAGATATGCTAATGATTGAACACAGACTGGAAAAACCAAAGAGAAGTGTTCATATCTATGACTGCGTTCGCAACGCCACCGCCCGCCGGCAGGGAATAGCTGCCCACGATCTCAGATATTGCTATGAATGCATGTCGTGGCTCCCGGAGAGAGATTGGCGCGACCATTGTATCCAACACCTCGAATGCTGGGATAACCGATATTGCGAAGTCATTATCTACTGTCATACGGTGATTCGCCCTGGATACTGCTCTTGTTGTCTGTGGGATCAGACTCTCGCACCAGAGAAACGGATGAAGCCTTGGTCGCACAGTGCCAGCTTATGAGGGCATATCGAAAGGATACACCTTCAGAGGGCGGAATGGCCAAGTATGATGCTAATTTGTGGCTGCTCAGTTTTGTTTGAGTCCGAGATCGAATTTCGTCGCTATCTATATGATGTGCATGGCCTGACGAACGTGATATGGCGGAAGCCAGAGCCCGAACCGGCTGTCAAGAGAAAACGAGGTGCCGGTGCGCAGCAAAAGAGAGATGAGGCCAATGGTGAAGGAGCAGGACCGAAGAAAATTAAGTTCTGATATTATCAGCTGATTCTGCTTCATCAACCGGCGGCTGCTGAGATTCACTCGCACACCGCGGTTAATCTATCGACCCATGACACCGCGCAGGCCGCACCTGTCAATCTACAGCATGCTGAATTTGATTACAGATCTTGCGTACATGCCGGTCTTAGCTCAGATAGCGACAGTAGTATAAGTGATATTTTGACTGTGATCTCACCGCTCAGCTCCGCGCGCACAACTCCTGACCTTGACCTCATCGACCCCAGGCTTCTAAGGCCAGGGACCTTGGGAGAAAATGATGTTATTTTGGTAGATATAGTACCTAATGCTCCCCATCAGCGCCCCTCTTCTTCGAGTGTTGATGAAGATACTGGGCAGGATGATAAGATTATGGCTCTATCTTGCGAGTATATGAGCTCACTGCGTATCGGTAGCAATGCTTATGATGATCAAGATGCTCGCGTTGTCGAGTCCACGGCATCTCCGAGCCGCGCGGAGCTATATATTGGTCTATCGTGCGTTGACGGCAGTAGCCTCGAAGATGAAGCGTCTTGAGATGATGGTTCAGCAGCTCGATGTGTATGGATATCATTCCCCGGCACTTTATTTGTGTCTTCGGCGCTATTCTTGACGCGCCAGACCAGAGGCAGAACGATGCCTAGACACTCTTCGACGTCTCGGAATACTGGGTACATTCTTAAAGGTGACGCTTTGCTAATGTTCAGAGAACGAAGCGTACTTTGGCGGCTGTAAAACAAGAATCTGACCTGGAGATAAATTATGCTCCATTTCTCTGAAAAGTCCGTTGCTGCCTTGTGACAAGCCTGGAGGGACATGGAGCATTCTTCGGTACAATGTTACATGAGATCTCAATGGAAGACACGGCGATGAAGAAGAGGTTTCTATTGGCATCTGGCGTTACTCTCGTTGGTTGAGAGTCAAAACAAAGTAGATCCGGCACCGGTAGTAAATCCAAGCAGACCAGAGAAATACTGTATTCTAGAGTAACAACATACGAGGAATAGCATAGTGTCCATGCCCGAAATGGACTATGATATTGCTCCAAAGAGTTTTTGAGCCTACGGCCAGTTACTTTGCTAAGACTAAAGAGGCCTGTGGTCTCTTCGCATCAGACACCCCGCCCATGCCTGTATACGGTGTCGTATTGTCCTCTTCCTAGGCTGTCTAATAAAGTTCTCTTATGTCCATTCAGTAGGATAATCGAAAATTCTATGCTTGTATAACTAATAGCTTAGTATCTCAGCGAGTGGTGACAATGCTGTGTTACCCTAGGATATAAGACTAAGGACAGTATAGAGACTATGTCTGTCAATGGTGAAAGCGGAAGTCCTTGGTTAGAATAAACAACACGAGATTATGATTTTCCGTATACACTATATCATATGGAAAGAGTGGCAGTATGATAGAAGTATACTTATCTTTTAGTTCTCAAAACTCAGTGTTTCTTGTAGACTCGTCGCCTCTTCTTCCCCGTGGCTTAGGCAAGTTAAGAGATAGTGTAAGAGGTCTTTCCTGGACGCCTTTGAGCCAAGCAGTTTCAAAGGCAATATTCAGCCGTGATGATTCCTACTTCCGTCAGACGGCTCGCTGTTGAATGATGCGCGGTAGGCTAACACGTCTCTATTGGGATCAACTACGGGATCCAGACTCCATACACTCTCTCAGATGTCAAGGGGGTTGGTCCATCCTGTCGTTTTAGATTCAATGTAAAACAGTGTTCGGTATTACGAGAAATTGTTGACATACGTATCGCTGACCAATTATTACAGGCGGACTATGGAACGTTTTTTAGAAACACCGCCACGTCATCAGCCACTGAAAGTAATATCCTGGTACTAACCAAAATTTACCAACAAGATAATCTCTCAAAATACCGCGTCTACTGGTCAAAGGACCGCGGCGGTCAAAGTTGAACGCGATTGACAGGTGTTTCTAACGGTCTCACAGTGCCACTTTAACTTGCCCAGATAGTTGCCCAGGTCGTGGTGGTTAATAACGTCGATGTGAAGATTACACGTATGTGTAGAGATATACAGACCTCTCAAGATAAATCATCAATATTTAGAAAGAGCTATAGTTGACTCTAGATGCAAGACATAGTTTTGTGCGGTCATGCCCGGGTATTCTTCTTCGTAGCTTAAGTCGGAAGATTACCGACAACCATTGATTCGGCATAAACCGATCTATGTAGTGGTAACTGTCCCATTTGCATACAATTGATGTGCGGATTCTTTCTTTTTTTGCTGGCACGAGTTGACGCGAGTTGCCTGGGCGTCATTCTGTTCCAAACAGTACGCTTCAACTCACGCTAGCTAACAGGTAATTTCTCCCCAGAAGATTATTCACCACTTTCATCGTGTTTGTCTCGTCACTGAACTGGGTAGTGAACGAAAGTCTACCGGGCGAATAATAAGAATTATGACGATCCCATCTTGCCTGGACATTGCCAAGGGTCGTGGTGGTTCGTGGGCATGTTTACCCGGTTGCCTGAAATGATTTACTTTCCACACCTCAACCATGAGATAACGGAATTGGCTGGGCTTTTTGCCCTTGCGCGAGGGAATGCTGCCGGTCGGAAACATGATCGCATTAGAGTAGAACCGGTGTTGATGATCCAAAGCAGAGATGCCCGAGCTTTGAACAGGGCGGATCCACCCGAAACCTTCCGACTGAAGATGCCCGGCTATTTTTCTCCCAACCCCAGCAATCTAATATTTTTGTCATCAACAATTCGTGGCGGTTTCTCAACGACAGCACCCGGTCATCGTAGTCACTTTACATCTCATTGAGCTGATCTGCTTTTGTACGGTCTGCTCTTGCCCGGGTTTTCCATTGCAGCTCTGACGAGTAGAAACCACCGAACAGCTGCCCTTCATTTCATCAGTAAACAAACTGTCGCGACCGAGGGTTTAGTGAATATGTCCGGAGTAGCTCAACCGTTGAAATCCTTGATAAGTCTGAATTGGTATAAACGCCTCCATCTGGCAATTCATGTGGCCTAATTAACTAATACATAGCCATGCAAGTTGAGTTGTGACGAAGATCATGTTGCATATCTCAGCCTTCTAGGTATCGTCCCAGTCTTTCATAATCAAAACTGGACTTTTGAAACCTCATTTCATCAGACTTGATGATATCCACCCTCTCATTAGCATGCAGCAGCTTAGGATTAGAGTTAATGATAGAATAAACCCAACACCGTGATTAGCTCAGATGGTTTTGATACGGATATATTGCTCCCACTTCTGCGCGCATTCTTGAATAACGAACCTGAAGATATTATTCAGGATACAATATACTCCACTGTTACCCTGTCCTTGCCTTCCCCTAAGCCCATAACGTTCTTGAACCAAATTCCGTTATTGCACACGACAAGCAGCTATAAGTTATTCAGAACATCGGAAGCACGTTGACGCGGTCCTAAAGAGGAAATTAGGATCTATCTACACCGATATCTCGAAATTTCATGACATATTCTTCAGCGGAATTGCCGGACTCGAGACAGCCACAGAGTCTATTATGAAGTTCTGCAGGGAAGGTGACAGACCGTTGTACGACGACAACAGTGGCTGGACTGGCTGGCCGAGAAGTGCACAAGACGTTCTACGATGGCTTACGGGGAAGATCAATATATTTCAAGAACACCTGATGCGAGACCCTAATATTCATGGTTCCATCCATTAAAGATGAATATTGGCGCGGTCATCATAACCCCTTGAAGGGTCTGTCACACACCGGAAGTTGGACGTTGCAATCGTGAGCTCCTTTAAGGACTCATCATCGCAAAGAGCACATTGGTCACACGTCCTAGTCCCTGAATATTTGAAGAGTAATAGAGACCTGGATACATCCTCGAGAAATTAGCATAATCTGGGTAGGTATGTAAGGGAGGTATTCTCTGCGCAAGAAACCCGCCGATATGTCCTTGGCTTCACCCTATATGGTTCAACAATGCGGATGTGGGAGTTCGATAAATTAGGGCTACAGCGTCGAAGTCGGTTGATATCGGTCGAGACGGGCCCATATTCATTTCAGTGTTTATTAGATATGTCCTGATAAATGCTACGCAGCTAGGGTACGATCTGGGCCGCGCCGAATACTCTGTCACGGAAAGAAAGAGACATTTCAGTTATACAACCTCTGATACAGCACTCCATTCTCGCAATCGCAATTGCTCAAGCTCTCCGACTAAGCATTCGAATCCATATATGCGAAACAGGGTGCATCGTCCGGTAATAGTCTAGGACTACGGCAAGCCGCTCTATAGGGCCAGCCCTCTTGCTGCGATGTTGGCAGCTCTTCGATGTTGCCTGGAAGGCTACCAATCTCATTATATCCGAACTGGCCTTTTGCAAGGAGATGAGTTAACTGGCAATCTCCTGATGAGTGATGAGACCAGTGATCGTCTTTACTCCGGCTTCCTTATTGATCCTGACCTCACGATTCGGGAAAAGTGAGCTATGCCTTCTGGCGCTTGGGGAAATACCGACACAAGAGCCTTTATGCCCATCGGGCAACTACTGGGCGACACCCTCTTTCGTGCAAGGACTGGGGCCCTTCTTTTGGGTTCTGTTTTGGATCTGTCTTCACTACAATGGCCCCAATGACAGAGGTCAAGTGATCGAAAAATTCGACGAATGGAATCACGTCAGCATGGAAGAGCTAGCCAAACTAAAACTGGGGACCATTTGAGATGATGACATCTTCGCAACGGCCATGGACAAATTGAGAGTATCACAAGCCTCTTAAGCGATGTCTTGATGAATGACGCAGGGCTGTTTTTTTCCAAATGAGAAAATACGGAGGAAGGATGATAAGAGTCTCTTCCCTCGTCTGCTCGCAATATTGCAAAATGCGGAGCAGGACTTGAAAGTCGCCCAAACTAAGGACTTTTGAAGGAGCATTCCAGAATCAAAGTGGAATGCCACTGGAAGCCATCTCGTCTGACCCATGCGCAAACGGAGATGAGACATTATAGAAGAACAAACCGTATCTCAACCATCTTGAACAGATAATCAACGCCTGATAATTGGGTCGTATTAGACGCACCTCGAATGTCCCGCCAACCGAAATTGGAATGGTGAGGTTGAGGCAGCAGCAGCGTTCACTTTGAACCGAGACTATGGGTCAACTCTAGCGAGGTGTGAGTAAAGTAGGAGGATGTTTTTTCCGCCATCCGCTCTGACAAGGTCATTTGTAACTCATATCCATAGCCTTGCTTCCCAACCTTCCCAGGGGATGGTTGTATCCTTGCTGTGGCCTTGGTCTAAAGTACTCACGGTGACATACACCTGCCAGTTACTCTTGGTATAGAGGCCATTGGTTGTTGGAATCTAAAAACAGAGTCTGGCCATTGTCTGAGTCGTACTATATTGAACACAACGGCGTCACACCCCGACAAGTCTCGAATGAAGCATGGAGATTGCACCTTCGGCGAGTCTGCTGTTGACTCCTCATGACAGGCTATATGGACTAGGCAAGCGCTGGCTAAAGAGGTTCCAGGTGGGACATCTGATATGGGAGCGTGTTAGAAGTCCTCGCTTATCACGCTGCAATCCGCCAGCAGAATTTAGCGCACTTTGGTTTGGTGCGATTGCAAGCGGTTCGGGCCTAGAAATCATTCGTTGAGTAGGGGAGATCGTTCTCTTAATCCTCTTGCCTATCCTTGGACTGGTGGCTACCACAATGTTTTATGGATGTTGCAGGGCCTGGTCTATATTTTTACGACGACCAGGAACACACACATTCCAAGAACAAACGTTTGGTGACTTATGCCTCTTGCTCTATATAAGGAGGACAATTAGCCCTATCAATATAGGCTTGACACGCCTTGGGCATCATGCGGCGCATTTCCCATAAAAGATTGTGCTCTACAGGTCAGATTTCACTTACAATGCTCTCGACATGAGCACCAAGATAGCCATTAGAGTTGGTACCTGGAGGATGTCACTATCTATCATGACTATGGGTACTCAGAGCAACCGGCTTTGACTTTGCCTGCCCTCCTTCTCAACGTATTTGGATGTCAAGGCGCCTGAAGCTTTCAAGAAGAACTTCTTGGAGCAGAGAGGTCGACAGAAAGCCTCGTTGCAATGATGCGGATGGTTCTCTATCAGCGGGGAGGATGTGCGTCCCGGAGAGCATTTATCAAGACAATTAGCTTAAAGAGATATGGGATGATGACAGGGGATGTTAATGAGATTTTGATAAGAATTACAAGCCCCAGCTGCCGACACCGTGGTTGAATTGATTCATGGGTTAATACAACTGGTTAACTCGTATTTTTATCCTACCAAGCTGATAATCCAAGATGTGTTAACGCTTTCCAGGATATACCAACCAATTCTGCCAAAGCTAGGGCAATGGGAGTTCCTGCCAAAGACTGCAGTCTATACTCTGACAAAGACCGCATGATTAATATATTATAACTAATTTAGCCGCAGTAATGTGAAGCTAAGTATTGGTAACGATCCCCAGAAGGCATGGGAGGTATTAATGCAAGGCGCATAAAAGTATTGGATAGTTGTTTGCGTGCTGATTATACTGCAAGCTGGCTGGTGGGCGTCTTCTTAGCGCCAGAAGGCCCACAATCTATATAAAAAGATGTTGTCCATTCATGTTCCAAGAGAAGCGGGCAATGGTTAACTGTTCTCTTAACGCGAGATCAAAAAGCTAAAGCAGAGCTTCTCTGGTCTATGATGGCAGGGAGCAGTAATGTTCAGATACTTAGTCATGATTGCTAACTAGAGCATGATTATTCTTTGTAATTTATTATCATTGCTACCAATGCCTCCTTCACCCCTATCATCAGATAGCTAAGCAGCTGGCTATCATTCTCGAAGCAACAGATATCTATAAGATGCCTTTCTTTAGCGCTAAAAGTTAAATTAATCTGTCTTAGCCGGAGAAACGCCACCGCTCTATGTCCCAGGTCCTAGTATATCCAGGCTTGGCCACCAACCGACCAACCACAACTCCCACCACGCGAGCGGCGTGGCCGAATATATGACGCTGTCTAAAGATCCGTTCGATATTGACGTCTCTAAAGCTGTTCCCAATTTGGGGTAGTAGATTCATTACCAGTATCTCAAGGCCTTTCCACAGCTGCACGAAAGAAGAGTATCAATACCCCTTAAAGCAATAGATTGAGACTAGTTACTTACTGTTAGCCCCCTTTCGCTCCAGCCCAGGGCTTTCTGCTATAGTTACTCACCAGCAAACGGTTCTATAGTTGGTTTCTGAGATATATAGGGCCTGATCGGGCTTGCTGTAGTTCCCCTTGTCGCGGTATTGCTATTCCCCTTTATAACATATACAACTAGAGCTTCGAACATCAACAAGAAAAGAACACATGATCTTGTGGTTCATGCTAGACGCATTATTCCTTCGGGAATGGGGCCAGGATCGCCTGTTGGAAGTAGTACTATTTTTAGAGGACCGTCAGGACCTTTTGGGCCGATCCATCTTTCGAAATCCAAAGAACAAATCTCGATCAAGGACATTTCGGAAATCCGATATGTGTGATTCATGGATGTTATCTTGAATATGTTGGCAGAGAGGATCTTGTGCATATTACGCATGAGTGCCAGCTTCGACAAGGACTTGGACTTTTATAATGCTCATCCATAGCATAGATTCACACCTTTTTATCGAGAGCGACGAAAGTATGAAGAGGCTCTGGGGAAATTATCTAATACTCGCAGCGAGAATTGATACCATTCCCTGCCAGCTTTTTCTTGGCAACCCCTCGCAGCAAGCTGTATATTTGGGGACAGGGATAACGCCTACACCGCTGCTTGAAAGTCTCGAGTGTATTTCCACTGCTTCCGAATTAACCAGAGTAATCAAACAAGGCAATTTGGCTCTGAACAAACAAATGAAGCAATTCCAACGACAAGGAGAAACGGAAGATTCCCTTCATCTCCATGCGCCATGGTGCAGCTAACAGCGATGCTAAGAAAAAGTAATCCCCGAATCATGTGCGTTAAACGCCCCGGCCATGTGGAAACGCCACCATTTTCTCCCCTAAATAGGGCCAAGACTGATGGAGCCATTCTCACATTGCTCGTCGGTAACTGATCTATTCTAGGCTAAGTGTCAAACAGTGCACAGTTAGAAGGTTTCTTTATTTAATCCACCTCCTATCCAATTGTGAACATGCCTGCATCCAGCTCCAATAGAATCCCTATCATGCGTCTTGTCTCTGCCATTGCCGCCTTCGCCGCAGTTGCTACTGCTGCGACTGCAGACACCGTCTCTCCTGAGCTGGCGAGCATTGGAGAGCCGTCGACGGTGCTAAATGTCACCTTTGCGGTGGGGTTAACTGCAGTCAGCTTCACTCCTGGCAAGTTTCTGAACGCGAGCGGTATGTACGACCGATCCCCCTTCCAGACTGTCTGATTAACTAATACCATCTCTAGACACCAAGAATGCGCCGGAGCTGCATCTCCATGATATGGGGCTCAGCAGCTCGGGACTCTATCTACTGCTCATGGTCGACCCGGACTGGAACAAAACCACCCCCCCCCTCGGTGATCGTACACACCGTGGTGGCCAACCTGACCACCACCATTAACAGTACTAGCAACGAGAACGTGCTGGCTTTCTACATTGCCCCGGCCCCCAAGTCCGGCACCTATAACTATATCCTTTCGCTCTTCGACCAGCCCTCCAACTTCAGCATCCCCAGCCGCTACGAATCCTTCATGCTGACCGACGATGACACGCCCCTGAATCGGCTAAACCTGCCGCTGGTCAGCTTCCTCAACCAGACTGGACTAGGCTTGCCGGTCGCGGCCAACTACTTTCGCGTCACAGCGGCGAGTAACGATACCAGCAACAGCTCAAGTACATCCGGTTCCAGCACGACCACAAGCTCGGGCACCAGCACCAGCACTAGCGCTGTTGCTAGCAAGATATCGAGTGGGGCGGGCCACAAGATGCCCACGGGGAGTTATCTGGCCGGTGCGCTGGTCTTGATCGGTGCGGTGATAGCCTCTGTCTAATCTAGATACTTATTTCTCAAAGATAATAATGGCACTGGAGAAATTGGAGAGTGAACTGCCACATCGCGTACTTTGTATATACTCAGCATGTACAGTAAGCAACATCAATTCTCGGAAGAGCGGCACACGCACGCAGCGAAAACTCGACTCTAGAATCTACTAAATGTAAGCTGCAGGCATTAATCCTGTTAGTGGGGGCCAAATTGTAGTAGTACAAGTATTGAGTACTAGTCATATTACAGCGCGTATGTATAATTCTATATACTGTTGGTCAGGCAATCTGGTATTTTCCATTTACCATCCCTGTAGAGAAAAGAGAAAGAAAACCCCCCCCCCCAGCAACCGAGGTCTCAGATGCACAATCCGTCTGATACTAATTTCCTCGTCAACATGTCTTCGCGCATCGAATTCCTGGCCACCACTATCGCCGACTCAGTCCAGCAATTACGGATTCTGCTAGCGCAGCACGGAATTGAGGAGCCCTCATTTTCGGCTACCTGCTCTCCATCCCTGGCACTGCCCCCGCCCGTCGAGGCCGCACGCAACGCTCTCCTGCACGCTGCGTGCGAGATCCAGGACCTGCTGCTGGATCCAGCCGATCTTCTACGCTCCTATGCCAGTGTACGCCGCCTCGGTTCTTCACTCCTGACTTGTAACCACGATTAATATTAATGGGATAAAGCACGCCTACCTCATCGCCCTGCACTTCATCCAAGAATTTAATATCGCGCACCTCGTCCCTCCTAATGGAATAATCTCATTTGCAGCTCTATTCACGCAATGCAATGTCCCCGAAGCCGACGTCCGGTGCCTCGTCCGTCACGCCATGACCATCTGCGTTTTCGACGAGCCTGCCGAGAATGAAGTCGCTCACACGCGTGCCAGCATGCTCCTGCGCCAGGAAGGTTTTCATGGCTGGATTGGGTCGACCTGCACAAATAGCTGGCCCGGCACGATAAGGGTATATAGTAGCTTCCCCTAGCCTAGCGCAGCTGGTCATCTCGGCTAACAGGGGTGTGTTTTGTATAGACTGTTGAAGCGTTAAAGCGCTTTCCTGGCTCCGAGGAGCTAAATGAGTCGGTTAGTCCCCCCTTCCCCCCAAGCAATCAAACTGCGAATGTGCACTGGAGGAGAATTCCCTTACCAATCTGCTTTTACCTCCCCAAACAAAGCACCATGCAGTAGAATATTCCAAGATACACTGAATACTAATAACAGCACAGGGCTTCGCCCTAGCCAATAATGGCCTGGTGCTCTACGACGTTCTCTCACAGTCGCCCACCCGCGCCGCCACCTTCGCGGCCAGCAAGCGCGGCTACATCTCAGGGGCTGCCATGGGCATGGCGCCGCTGGTCACATCCATCCAGCCGCTCCTTTCCACACTCCCGGCAGACAGCGTGGTTGTCGACGTCGGCGGCGCGCAGGGCGACATCAGTTTCGCGCTGGTAGCCGCATTCCCGCACCTGAGGTTCATAGTGCAGGATTTGCCGGGCGTGATTGCTCGTGTGAAGGAGCAGTAAATAATGCATCCCTCCTCGGTAACAAGAAGGGTAGACTTCCAAGCGCACGACTTTTTCACCCCTCAATCCACTAATCCCAGCGCGCGCGTCTACTACCTTCGTCACGTCCTTCATAACTGGGGCGACCGCCATGCAGTACAGATATTGCGGCAGCTGCGCCCGGCGCTGTGTCCCGGGGTGCGCGTGCTTATCCATGACCACGTTCTTGAGCCATACCCTGCCCAGGAGTCTATGTGGAAGCGTAGACTCACTAGTAACATGGACGTGAATATGTTGCAGTTGCTCAATGCGCGCGAGAGGGACGAGGCGCAGTGGCGCGGGTTGGTGCAGGAGGCGAATGAGCGATTCCGGTGGGTTGGGGTCCGGCGGGTGGAGGGGAGCGCGTTGGCGGTTGTGGAGGTGGTCTGGATGAATGATTGCTGATAGCCTGATACGAGTAGCGCTGATTAAAAGCAGGGATGGTCTGGTTTGCTTCCGTAGTACGGAGTAACTAGTAACTAGTCTGATGCAGCGCGGAAGAGTTTGGATTCGGTTGGCTTTGCTGACGGGCATCCGACGGGTGGCGCGCTGGACGGAGTTGGATCGTTTTTTTCTTGGAGTGGTGGTGTGTGCATTAGCAAGCTACGTACAGTATTATATAGGGCTAAGCTTTATACGCTAAATGCTCGTGTCAGCACTAGTTTAGGTACCCCTCTTGGTCTTGGGTGCCATGTGAGCATTGTTGATTTTTTTCTGTTCCTAAACAATTTCTTGATTACTCTCTTCTCTTTCCGGCTGTGCATCTTTCGAGAGAAAGACTCATTCCTGGCCGGCGGAGTCACCTGTTTTCTTTTTTTCTTTTCTTTTCTTTTCTTTTTTTTTTTTTTTTTTTTTTTTTTTTTTTTTTTTTTTTTTTTTTTTTTTTTTTTTTTTATATTAATATGTTATTAGTTCTTCAGCAAAGCTGTATATAGCATTGTCTCAATCTCTACAAATGAGTCAGGTGGTTGGGCAGGTCAACCACAGGAGTTAAAGATTCCATGTTCCTTGCACACATGCCTTACCATACAAGATAAGTGGAGTAGCACAGTATCACTATTTTAGCGCCCCCCCCCCCTCCCCCGCCCCGATGCTGCAGGACAGACAGGACAGGCCGTGGGGAAGGGAGGGGAGGGGGGAAATGCAATTGACATTAGAATTTCTGGGTTTTAATCAATAAAGCACCCCCTACAATCAAACTCCAACGGTTTAATGTCCCAATTCACTCTCTAACCCCTCCCATCAAACCCTTAACATTGACTCCTCCTGCCGAGACAATCCCCTCAGCCATCATCATGTCCACTACCGACACCACCACTACCACCAAACCAGCCTGGTACCAAACCAGCGTCACGGCCATCGACCCCGCCGCGCAATCCATGCTGGAGAGTTACAGCGGGCTCGCACCCGAAGAGGTCATTTCCCATGTCTTAGCCCTGGTAAGTTCTCCTCCTCAAGACTATTTTTCCCTTCTCTAAGTGTTATACCTTTCCCCCCCCCTCCCCCAACTCTAACTGAAACTACTTGTGTGAACAGCGAGATGAAGCCTTCCAAATCTTTCCTTACCCCTGCATCGGCCAAATGCGCTTCCTAAGCTGCCATCTCTCCCGCCTTCCCTTTTACGACCACGTGCTCGCCCGCCTGCGCGCCTCCCCGGCCAATGGCTTCCTCGATGCAGGCTGCTGCGTTGGTCAAGAGCTCCGACATCTAGTCTACGCCGCCTCGATCCCGCCATTCCAGTTATACGGCTTTGATCTAGAAGCTGGGTTCTTCGAGCTCGGGTACAAGCTGTTCCGTGATAATGCGGAGACGTTCCCTGCTACGTTCGTGGGCGCGGATCTAGGTGTGTCGGACGAGGAATGGGAGAAGACCGAGATTGTGGCGAAGATGAGGGGGAAGATTGATATTATTTGGGCGGGCTCGTTGCTGCATTTCTGGGATTATGAGGGGCAGCTCCGTGGTGTGGAGCGGTTGATTGGGTTGACCAGGGGGGAGGTTGGGATGGTGGTTTGTGGGAGACAGATGGGGAGTACGGTGGCGGGCGTGTATGATTTGACTGGGTTGACGGAGAAGACGATGCTGCATTATCGGCATGATGTGGTGAGTTTTGAGCGTATGTGGAGGGATATTGGGGAGAAGACGGGGAGTAGGTGGGATGTGCAGGCGGAGTTGGAGGTTGGGGAGACGACGACTAATATGAGGAATAAGGCAAGGTTTATGGATGATAATGCCAGAATTATTTGGTGGTGTGCAATGAGGGTGGAGTAGGAACTTTTCCTTGAGTGTGGGAATGGAGATGATGACTACTATAACTAGTAGTACTAGTATGAATGAGAAGTGGGACTGGAGAATCAATTTCATGGTTAGTATGCTACTATTATGGTATATATATATAAATATGATTTCTACTGCCTTAGTACCTGATGTGCTTGTACAGTATCTACTACTTCATACTACCGGATATCCACATCCATCTTCACTATAATTTTATTCGCTGACACCACGCCTCCCCCCGGTGTCCGATCTTCCGGGTCCTTGGAGGCGCAGCTGGTGGTAAAGTGTCCCATATGCAGCCGTTCGGTGCTGCTGCCGGCTTCATCCTCGAGTCGCAAGCGTGCGGCCCGTGCTGCTGCTGAGGCGTGGCTATGATGGTACGTATTCCTGCTTGCGCCTCCGGCCGTCCAGCCCTTGTCTCGGCGATGCTTTTTGCTGAAGGCGACACGGAAGCCCGAGGCGATGGGCACCGCGGTCGCGCACACGATGGCCATGTTGAGCTGGATCACGTCCAGCAGCTCGAAGGGCGCGGCCGCGTAGGGGAAGTCCGAGTGCAGGCTCGTAGACTTGTAGAGAACGACGACGCGGGCGACCGCGGATACAATGGCACTGCGGAGTTGAATTAGTTTTATGGATAGATACGGAGTGGAATTTAGAAGCGGGAAGGGGGTAATTATTAGTTAGGGTGCAGTTTATTAAGATTACTCGCTCAGGGCATTCGGTCTCCCGCTCACCCCATGCTCAGTGATCGCCTCAGGCTACTCAGGGCGTGCTCAGATCTACTCAGTGAGCAAAAACCGGCGAAGGGTGAGCACTAAAACGGAAAGAGTAGGCCATCGACCGTCCTAGAAAATCAAGTATGTATGTTGTTTAGTTGTGTACTATTCAGCTGCGGTGACGACTCTTCCTACCCGGTCTGCAGCATTCCGTTATTTTTGTGCCTGCAATCTTGAGGCACTCGACAGCGTCCAGGACCATATTCTTGCTTCGCGTCTGCATAGCTAGCAATTTACCTGGCAGCATAGATTGGGTATAAGAATAAGGATAAGAAATGAACTGAATTGGACACCAAATCGTAGAAATACTAGTGTACTGCAAATATTAGTTTATAGAGACTGTGAACTACGCGTCTTCAACACCTCAAGCGATGATCCTACACATATATTCCTTACCAGCCAGACTACGTAGCTTTCCCAGTATATCGATAATATAGATACTACATGATTAATATCGATAACCCGTCATCACCAAAGCAACGTAGATGGCACAATCCTGTATACAAATATATTGAAACTAAGTTATGAGACCCTGGAGCCCATAAAAGTGGTGGATGGCGTGCTTTTGTAGGGGTGCTACTACTGGGGAACCGGTTCGAGATACTACGACATACAAAGTAATCAGAGTAATAGAGCCGTTTAATTATCATGGCTACTCGGCTAAAGATTCGACTCCAATCTAATCGGTACATGCAACGTTCGAACTTAAGCAAAGAGAACATCAAACCCTCACCTCACCACCACCAACCAGTTCCCCAACAACACCAACCAACTCATTCAAAACCTCATCCACAACAGCCTCCTCACCTTCCCATCCTACAACACCAACATGCATCACACCTTCCTTAATAAACGAAACAACCTTCATTGGATCCGCCGCATCACCATCCGGATTCAATATATCAACCTTGCACTTGCCTCCTGCAAATGGCATCTCATCGAAATCATCCCAGTCCTGGTGGTGAACCACAGATGCAACACTCTTATCCCAGTTGAGAGCATTACCAATCTTATCTAGACCAAGGAAATCATACTCTGCAGACTCCGCAGCCTGCGACTGCACGGCGCGCAGGAAGTCCATTGCTTGCCAGCTGGGTTGGATTTGAACCCGTGTCGGCATGAGCTGGTAGCAGGCACCGACAATAGAATCTGAATTGGGGAGGGAAGACAGGGTCCGGCCCGACGTGACACTCGCGAAGGTGATGTCTTGGGTTTGAAGACGGCGGGCGAGGAGCAGCGCCCAGGAGGAGGTAAGGAGGGTAGCAGTCGTGATTTCTTCGAGCCCGAAGGGAAAGGGAAGAGGAATGGGAGCGGTATGGAAGATGGACTTCGTGCCCTGTTGTTGGGCTTGTTGTTGGGTTGGAAGAACGGAGGGAGTAGATCCTTGGAGAAGATTCTTCCAGTACGCGAGGGCTTTGGTCTGAGGAGTCGGTGAGAGGGTATGTGAGATGTAGGTGGAGAAGGGGGTTGGCGTGGGAATTTGGCCGGACGTGTAGAGAGTTTCGAGGTCGCGGAGGAGCAATGGCAGAGAGACGCCGTCATATTGAGCGTGCGAGAGCCCGAGGATGAGGCAGGACTGCTGGCTCGGGGTATGTTCGATATAAAGGAGTTGGGTGAAAGAGGAGCCGAGCTGGAAGGCGGACTCGGAGTGTGTCTTGCAGAGCGAGTTGACTGCGTCTTCGAGAATGGAAGTGGTTTGGTGAATCGCGATAGGGACCGTGATGTCATTGAGGACGACTTGGAGGAAGCTGGAGCCGTGCTCAATGAAGACGGTGCGCAGGATGTCGTGTGCCTTGACGAGCTCGTGGCAGGCCCGGTGCAATTGCTCGCGGTCAATGTCCTGGTCGAAGTATAACATCGTGTATTGGATAGATGTGCGCGGTGCCTGAACAGTGCCACGAACATCGAGGGCTTGGACATCGGTGACTGGGAGGACGTCGCGAATAGACCACTCCGGTTTTGCCAGCTTGGGACGGACCACCTCAGTCAAGAAGGACTCCAGGTTTTCAACCTGACCAATAGCCGAGAACGGATGGTAAGGCTGGGTTTTCTCTTCCCTTGACACAACATCCACCCGCAACGCCTTGGCAGCATCTCCGAGACGCATACGCTGGAAGATATCCGCCACGGTCAGAGCGTGCCCTTGGGCACGCAGGCTCGACACAAGCTTCATAGCAAGGACAGAGTCACCACCGAGGCGGAAGAAGTTGTCATCAACGTCGATTTGTTCGGGGCTGAGCTTGAGGATGGCGGCCCAGGCGGACCGGAGGATGGCCTCGGAAGGTGTCAAGTTAGTTTGCGCGGCGGCCTTCGCCAGTGCCTGCTTAAAGGAATCTCTCAGTTGAACGAGCATGT